TCGCGCCATTGCACTCCAGCCTGGGTAACATGAGTTAAACTCCATCTAAAAAAAAAAAAAAAAAATTAGGCTGAATCGTCAGCCTAATTTTTAAATTTAAATGTAAATTATATGAAAATAGAACATTTCCAATTTTTCAATAAATGGGATTGAAAGCAAAACCAAATTATTTTGGCCATAGGTCAAGCTAACTTCACAAACAGAAGCCATATTTCATTTATTCAAGGTAAAAAATAAGATTCTATTGTGTTTTAAGCTTTAAAAAACAAAAAGTGTCTTGTTACCCATAAGTCATTGGAAAACAGGAAATCTAGCTATTTGAAAGAACAATAATCTCAATCCAAATTTACTAGGCCAGCCTGATGGAGGATAGAACAAAAACATTAATACCAAAATAATGTTCAAATATGATGCTTTCAGGATTAAGAAAATCCTGTAAACCAACTTCAAAACAAAGTTTTAAACTTCTAAGAAACAGTAGCTGTACCATCTACCTCAATTTTAAGTCAGGAATACGGAGGTGCAGTTGGGGATAAAGCAAGGAGAGGAGTGCTTTCAGCAAAAGCTTAAGACTGAATCAAAAACAGTACAAGGCTCAGCCAATAACTTCTGACCAAATAGAGTCTTAAGTTGTACAGACGGGCAGAAAGGACTGCTGTTCATGGATCAGGCTTCTTGTACCATACCTATCATGATCAATATCTTCATCTTCAAATACAAAGAGTTTTTCAGAAAACAAGCTGTACATAATTAAGCAGAGCTAAAATAACCTTGGATTTGCATTTTCTCTTTTACAAATAAATAACCTGGTCAACATTAGTTTTATTTTTTAAAAATTTGGCCAGGTACGGTGGCTCACGCCCATAATGCCAGCACTTTGGGAGGCCAAGGCGGGTGGATTTGAGCTCAGGAGTTTGAGACCAGCCTGACTAACATGGTGAAACCCTATCTCTACTAAATATACAAAAATTAGCTGGGCTTGCTGGTGCACACCTGTAATCCCAGCTACTTGGGAAGCTGAGGCATGAGAATTTCTTAAATCTGGGAAGTGGAGTTTGCGGTGAGCCAAGATGGTGCCATTGCACTCCAGCCTGGGCAACAGAGCAAGACTCTGTCTCAAAAACAAACAAAAAATTAATTAGAAAATAGAATGGTCGGACACGGTGGCTCACGTCTATAATCCCAGCACTTTGGGAGGCCGAGGAGGGTGGATTGCTTGAGGTCAGGAGTTCAAGCCTAGCCTGACCAACATGGTGAAATCCCGTCTCTACTAAAAATACAAAAAAAATTAGCCAGACATGGTCAAGGGCACCTGTAATCCCAGCTACTCAGGAGGCTGAGGCAGGACAATCGCTTGAACCTGCAAGGCAGAGGTTGCAGTGAGCCAAGATTGCACCACTGCACTCCAGCCTGGGTAACAAGAGCAAAACTCTGTCTCAAAAGAAAAAAAAAAAAAAAGAAAAAAAGAATGTATGCAACCCTCTTGATTGGTCAAAATGTAGTAAGCATATTAGTTTCTATTAAGTAGAGAGGACAATAACAGACTAAGAAAATACTGTCAATAACACTGGAAAGTGGCCAGGTGCAATGGTTCAGGCCTGTAATCTCAGCACTTTGGGGAGCAAAGGCAGGCAAATCTCTTGAGGCCAGAAGCTCGAGAGCAGTCCGGGCAACATGGCAAAACCCCGTAACTACAAAAAATACAAAAAATTAGCAAGGTATGGCGGTGCATGCCTGTAGTCCCAGCTAGTTTTCTGTGAAGCTTCGTTGAGGGTTTCCCAAAAAAGCTCCAACAACGAAACAGATTAATATAGACTAAAATCGTGAAAGAAGCAACAAAAGATACAATAATGAATATGAATAAAATGTGATAATTCTAGTAAAATTACAAAAGTATAGAACTACTTCTTTCATGGATTTGATACTACAGATCAAATTATGTCTCTAAAACCTTAACTAACAATAGTAAAAGTATACAGTCTTCAAAATTGATGCCAATCACATCTCATAACACCAATACACAGTCCAACTTAAATAACACTAATAAGTTCTACAGGCTATTGATATTCATGGCCGTTGAATATCTTTTTGCTAGGGTAATATTAGGTGAAATATGGCAAAGAAACATTATTTCCAATTCCTTTCAGGCTTTCTGCAAAGTTTACTTATATAATTTGTAATAATAAACACCCCAAATGTTTATTTTTTTAAATCCTCTTCTAAACTTTTTACCTTGATTTGGTTAATATACACAGAAGTTTTAGACTACCTTTTCCTCCAACTAAACAAACCTGTCACTGTTTTACCACTTCTCTTTGTGAAGCATAAAGTTCTATTTCTATAAAGTACTGAGTCAAACATATAGAACAAATATCAAAAGATTATTTTAGAATACTTTGGTATATATTGAAAGAAAAATCTAAAGAAGGAATAATATTGAGGAAAGAAAAAACATGTTCATACTAGGATTAAACAGAGAAAATACTTTTTTCATTATCTTTTATATAATAATATAAGCCCTCATATAATAACATGTTTTAAATAAAGATACTAAAATTATTAATCCTAATATTACAATACTGACTTCAGAAATGGATATAAGGGGCTAGAAACACATATGAGCTATATAAAACCATAAACACATCTTAAAAGGATACTTCAGTGTCCATGTGGCAACAATCATAGCACTTCCATCTATTTAATATTTAGTGAGCATTTATGTGGAAAATGCAAAAGACTGAGTTTATATTCCAGTTTAGTTACTTGCAGGCATGAACGAATCACTTGCTCTTCTCCAGGTACATAAAAAAACTTAATGGCTCCAGAAGCAACTCATTTCGTGTACAATTATAAGAGTACAAAGAGGAGGAAGGTGGTAAGTAGCGGGAGGCAGACCACAAAAAGCAAAACCTAGCAAAAGTATGATACATAGGCAAGATATAGGAACTACATAAAATTAGAGAGGGTGACAAATATTCTTGGCAGAAACCCAGTCACCTCAGCCAGATAAAGTTTAAATTAGACTACTTTCTTTCCATTTACATTTACATATTAACAAGAGATAGATTCACCTCCAAGTGAATTCTGACATAAAGTGTGACGTATAACCATACAATGGCCATTAAGTCAAGAATCAATCAACGCTAAATGAAAGCTTAGAGCAACATGTAAATATCAATTTGGCTTTAGAATTAATGCAAGGGTCCTGAGCTGTATGCAGTGTAAATTACAGGCTTATTATGTAAATTACAGGATATTCCTATATGTCAATTTTACTAAAGATAAAAAAAGAAAGAAAAAGTTTAAAAATACAGTTTTATTGCATACGCCTCAGAATTTCTTTGAGTGGTATTAAGTGTTAATACTATTTCAAACTTAGCTCAATTTTCTTTTGTTTTCTTTCATTTATTTATTTTATTTTATTTTTTTAATAGAGACAGGGTTTCACCATGTTGGTCAGGCTAGTCTTGAACTCCTCACTTCAGGCGATCCGCCCACCTCGGCCTCCCAAAGTGCTGGAATTACAGGCGTGAGCCACAGCTCCCAGCCCAATTTTCTTCTTCTGATTTAATTTTGGTACAATATAAAACCAATTTGATTAGTCAGGCACACAGCTAATGAAATGGCATGACTGGCACTTTAGACCTATAATAATGTAAATATCACAGATATTTTTGCTCTTGCCATAGAGAGATTTAGAAATTCACCCTTGGTAAATGTAAGTACACCTGTATTTTAAATTGTTATAGCAGTTAGTGTAGAGAATAGAATCTGAGAATTAACTCTCAAATTCCTTCCTTATGCTCCCTTACCTTCATTTCATTAAATTACTAAATAACTTTGTTGATTAACTATACAAATGACAGGAACATTTGAATAAATACTCCAATTCCAACTAAACAAACCTGACACTGTTTTACCACTTCTCTTTGTGAAGCATAAAGTTCTATTTCTATAAAGTACTGAGTTAGATAACGTCAGAAGTTTATTGGTTTTGGTCAAAGTCTGTTGTAAAACTTTCATACAAAAGAACTGGCTCAATTCGATCTTTAAAGTGAATCACTAAATCAAAATATGAACAGATAAAAGTAGTTTCTCAGGATAAAAACAGGAAACTTAAAAATCAGGCTGGGCACAGTGGTTCACACCTATAATCCCAGCACTTTTGGGCCGAGATGGCCCCACTGCACTCCAACCTGAGAGACAGAGCAAGAGTCTATTTCAAAAAAAAAAAAAAAAAAAGAAAAAAGAAAATCAAATTTGTAAAATAAGAAAATTAATTATCAAATTATGCACCTATCCAAAGTAGCTTCCCCATTCCCATATTATTCCAGATCTACACTACCCAGTATAGTGGTCACTAGACACATATGGTCGCTAAATGTAAAAACTACTTAAAATTAAATATTTAATTCCTCAGTTGCAATAATATCCAGTGTCACAGGAGGTTCTATTGGGTAGCACTGGTTTACATAAAACACCAGTTAAAATATGCCCCCCAAAATTACTGATGCAATTCCAAACATAATGGGCAGAATAAAGAGGGATATGTCCATTTATGATACAAATTCTATGCATAATAGGAAGAGAAGGGAACATCTTCAAACTGAGAAAAGGCATCATAACTAATGGTGAAAGATTATCTGCTTTCACCCTATGATCAGGAACAAGGCGAGCCTATATACTCTCACCACTTTAATTTGCCATATATATATATATATATATATATATATAGAGAGAGAGAGAGAGAGAGAGAGAGAGAGTGTGTCTTGCTCTGTTACCCAGGCTGGAGTGCAGTCACGCAATTTTGGCTCACTGCAACCTCCAGCTCTCAGGTTCACGAAATTCTCCTGCTTCAGCCTCCCAAGTAGCTAGGATTACATGCATGCATCAACAAGCCTGGGTAATTTTCTTTTTTTTTTTTTTTTGAGATGGGTGTCGCCCAGGCTGGAGTACAGTGGCCTGATCTCTCCTCACTGCAACCTCCACCTCCTGGGTTCAAGCAATTCTCCTGCCAAAGCCTCCTGAGTAGCTGGAATTACAGGCACGTGGCACCATGCCCCAACTAATTTTTGTAGTTTTAGTAGAGATGGGATTTCACCAAGTGGGTCAGGTCAGTCTCTAACTCCTGACCTAGTGATACAACCACCTCAGCCTCCCAAAGTCCTGGGATTACAGATGTGAGCCACCACACCCGGCCAGTTTTTGTATTTTTAGTAGAGACGGGGTTTCACTATGTTAGCCAACCTGGTCTTGAACTCCTGACCTCAAAAGATCTGCCTGTCTTGGCCTCCCAAAGTGTGGGTAACCCCCTACATAGGCACCAAGGAAGGAGAGCTAAGCAGAACCCTGGCACAATTAAGGCCTGAAGAATATCTCAGTTTATAGTGTTACTACTCAGTCATTTCCCTTTATATAATCCTCTATATATAATCATATAATAGTTCATAGTATGAGCGCCTAAAGAATATATCCCTACATATATATATATATATATATATATATATATATCTTACTTCATAATCGGAGGAATGCCTAGAGTAGACACAGTACAGAGTATGAATTAAGAAATAAGCAGCTTATAATCGGAGGAATGCGTAGAGCAGACACAGCGCAGAGCATTATTTAAGGGAAAGACAGTTATACCAGGACAAGAATCGATGGCCCAGGCGGCAGCGTTCAGTATTGTAAAGATACCCGCTGTATGGCAGGCTTGGGGCAAGAGCCACTCCTTCTGAGAAAGGAGTTGTAGGACCTTGCTCCAGTTCTTGTGGAAGGCTGCCCTCAGACTGGCAATTGCACCTTGGTGACTGTGAACTTTATCAGCTCTTGTTACTGTGCTGCTCGAAAAGCATCTTCCCACAGAACTCATTGGAAGCTGCCAACAGGTGGCAGTAACCCTGACAGCTCTGTCACTACTGTGTGACTTAAAAGCATCCCCCCATAAATCTTCCTAGAAGCAGTTTGCCCATAGAAAGAAGATATTGCACACTGCACCCTCTTCACTGTGCACAACCCATCTTCAAGCCTCGGTGACCTAATGGGGGTGGACCCCTTACTGTACACGGCCCTTGCCTCAATGACCTAATGGGAATGGACCCCTTGATTTATTGCGCACTGTCCACCTCCTAGCCTAGGTGACCTAACGGGGTTGGACCCCTTGTTTTATTGCTCACAAACCTATCACTGTCCTTAAAGATGATTTCACTCACTGCCCTGTCCCCTAACCTATACACAATAAACACTCATGCTTCTGGACATTCGGGGCCTCGCCTGACTCCACTCATAGGTGGTGTGGCCCCTTGAGCCCAGCTGCGTTTTCCTTGTACTTCTGTGTCCTGTCTCTTTATTTCTCGAATCCTGCACCTCAGCACAGCATAAGGGACACCCCACGACCCTGTGGGGCCTTCACCCCTACAAACCTGGTCTTGAACTCCTGACCTCAAAAGATCTGCCTGTCTTGGCCTCCCAAAGTGCTGGAATTACAGGTGTAAGCCACGGTGCCTGGCCTAATTTACCATTGTAATAGAGGCACTAGGAGTTCAATAATGTAAGAAAAAGAAATAGAAGGCACACAAAATCAGAAAGGAAATAGTAAACCTGTCTTTATTTGAAGACAACAGGATTATCTATGTAAAGAATCCCAAAAAATCTCAAGGAAAAAAAGTCATTAAATCTGGTAAGTAAATTTACAGAGATCAAAATACAGAAAAACAAAACAAAACAAAAACAAAGGAAAAAAAACCCATCTCCATCTACTAGCAACAAACAACTGGAAATCAAAAAATACAATTTAAAACAGTATAAAAACCATAAAATCCTTAGGGAAAATATTCACAATAGATGTGTTAAAACCTGAACACTGAAAACTACAAAATGCTGCTATGAGAAATTAAATATCTAAATAAATAGAAAGATATACTACGTTCCTGGATTAGAAGGTTCAATGCTGTCAAGATGTCAGTTCTTCTACAATGTACCTATAGATTCAGTGCAATCCCAAACAAAAACCCAGTATCTTCTTTTTGGAGAAATTGAGAAGCTGATTTTAAATTTTATGTGGAAATGCTAAGGAACAGAAAAGCCAAAACAATTTTTTGAAAATGAGAGCAAAGTTGGAAGACTCAGATAGCAGAGAGTCCACAAAGACTTATACATATATGGTCAAATGATTTTCGACAAATGTGCCACAACAATCCAGTAGTGCAAAAGATGGCCTTTTCAACCAATGATACTGGAATTAGACATCCATATGCAAAAAGAAAAAAAAGGAATTCAATCTAAACTACACACCTGATATAAAAATTAATTCAAAATGATCAAAAATCGAAATATACAACAAAATTATAAAACTTCTAGAATATGAGAGAAAATCTTTATGACCATGAGTTAGGCAAAAATTTCTTAGAACACAAAAAGAACAATTTTAAAGACAAAACTAATAAATTAGACTTCAGCAAAAATTTCTGTTCTTTGAAAGACACTGTTAATAAAATAGGGCCAGGAACAGTGGCTTACACCTGTGATCCCAGCACTTTGGGAGGCCGAAGAGGGTGGACTGCTTCAGCTCAGGAGATCTAGATCAGCCTGGGCAATAAAGCTGGACCCCCATCTCAATTAAAAAAGAGAGGAGAAGGGAGGGGAAGGGAGGGGAAGGGACGGAAGGGAAGGAAGGGGAGGAGGGAGGAGGAGGGAAAGGGAAGGGGAAGGGGAGAGGAGTGAAGAGGAGGGGGAGTGGACGGAGGGTAGACAGGAGGGGAGAGGAGGGAAGGGGGAGGGGAGAGGGAGTATATGCAAAATATACACTTTGTATATTTGCAAAATACAAAGGATTTCTACCCAAAATATATAAAGAACTCCCTCAAAACTCCATAATTAAAAAAAATCCAAACAACTCAATTTAAAAAATGGGTGAATACTTCACCAAAGATGTATAGACTGGCAAATATGCACATGAAAAGGTATCAACTGACGGTATCAGAAGCTGGTGAGAATGTGGGACAACTAGAAATCTCAGAAATTGCTGGTGGGAGTACAAAATGTAATAGCTACTTCCACAACAGTTTGGCAGTTTCTTATAAAGTTAAACCTGTACTTAACATATGATCCAAACTGCACTACCTAGGTATTTATTTACCCAAAAGAAATGAAGAAAGATGTTAATGCAAAGACTTTTACACGAATATTTATAATAGCTTTATCTATAACAGGCAAAATGATTTAACAGATTATGGTAAATTCAGAGAATGGACTACTGCTTGGTAATAAAAAGAAATAAACTTCTGACACATGAAATGATATGCATGAATTTCAAAAGCATTGGTCTATGTGATATCAGACAGACACAAAAGGTTATCTACTACATGATTTATTTAGACGACTTTTTTTTTTTTTTCTTTTTTTTTTTTTGAGACAGAGTTTAACTCTTGTTGCCCAAGCTGGAGTACAATGGCGTGATCTTGGTTTACTGCAACCTCCGCCTCCAGGTTCTAGTGATTCTCCTGTTTCAGCCCCCCTAGTAGCTGGGATTACAGGCACCTGCCACCACGCCCAGCTAATTTTTTGTGTTTTTGGTAGAGACGGGATTTCACTATGTTGGCCAGGCTGGTCTCAAACTCCTGACCTCAGGCGATCTACCTGCGTCAGCCTCCCTAAGTGCTGGGACTACAGGTGTGAGCCACTGCACGCGGCTTAGACATTTTAAACAATGTAAAGTATGGTCAGTCACAGAAACATTAGTGGTTTCCAGGGGTTGAACAAGTGATAGTGAGGCTGACAGGAATGTTCCATATTTTTTATTGTGGTAGTGGTTACACAAAAATGTATACAATTTGTCAAAACTTACTGAACTGCAAGCTTAAAAAGACAGCCTTTTATGTCAATAATATCCTAAAATAGTTGACTTAAAAAAAAAAAGTACCATGGCTAATACTCTATTTTGGAGCTTTCTAAGTGTAAATCTGTCATACCAAGAAAATACAGTGACATCTGACCATGAATATGATAAGATAAATAGTCTATTTTTTTTTTTCCGAAAAACAGTGTATGTTTTTTATAGTTCTAAGAGTCAACAGAACCAGACAGGTGCAGTGGCTCACACTAATCCCAGCACTTTGGGAGACCAAGGCTGGTGGATCATTTGAGGCCAGGAGTCCAACACCAGCCTGGCCATCATGATGAAGCCCCATCTCTACTAATACAAAATACAAAAATTAGTCAGGTATGGTGGTGCATGCGTGTAATTCCAGCTACTCAGGAGGCTGAGGCAGAAGAATCACTTGAACCCAGGAGTGGGGGGGTTGCAGTAAGCAGAGATTGTGCCATCGCACTCCAGCCTGAATGACAAAAGACAAGAGTGAGACTCTGTCTCAAAAAAAAAGAAAAGAAAACGGTGGGTGCAGTGTCTCATGCCTGTAACCCCAGCACTTTGGGAGGCTGAGGCTGGCAGATCACAAAGTCAGGAGTTTGAGACCGGCCTGACCAACATGGTGAAACTCCGTCTCTATTAAAAATCAAAAAAAAAAAAAAAAATTAGCTGGGTGTGGTGGCACGCACCTGTAATCCCAGCTACTCAGGAGGATGAGGCAGGAGAACTGCTTGAACCTGGCAGGCAGAGGTTGCAGTGAGACAAGATCACACTATTGCACTCCAAACTGGGCAACAGAGTGAGACTCCGTCTCAAAATAAATAAATAAATAAAGATATGCCTTCATGATTAACTTTTGCTTAGATTGGCAAAATATAAAACTGATTGGTTTCAAAGTAGCTATGGAAAACTATGACCCAGGAAGAGAAAACTACCTCAAATCACAAACTGGATTTCATATCCATCTTGCTGAGTTTTTATCAGGCTTTGAATTCTAAATAACTTAAACTTAATAAGCATCTTGAGTACCAGGTATTACATGAAAACACATCATGATTGAATTGCCTCTATTCTAAAAGCTCCTCCCCAAATTACACGGCAGATTTAAAATGAATTTAAAAGCATAAATGTCAGGGACATGACAATTCCTAAGCAATTACTAAAAGAATAACAAACTGATTCAAATCAGTGTAGAGAGTTTATTTCACAACACAAGCAGAAGTTTGAAAGCATATGCTTAGTTAAAAGAAAAAAAAAGTGAGAAGAGAAGAAGGGATAAAGAAAGCCTATAAATCTAATACTCTAACGGTTGCTCTTCAGCATTGCACATGTGACCACTGAAGTATAAAGACTACAAAATGTTGACAGCATAGCTAAAAATATTGTATCTTTGAAAACAAATAAATGCATGAATAACAAAAGTTACCTCAATTCAATATATTAATTATGACTAAAGCTTTAAGGGAAAGTGAACACTGGAAAATTCCGGTGGATAAACAAACTATGCTTGAAAGTAAAAAAAAAAAAAGTTAGCAATACTGTGTTCAATGAGATTCAACTTTCTCAAGTAACATCCAGGCTATCGAAGAGTACTTTTAGCAATATACTTCAGAGTATCCAATTTCCCTTAATAAGTCCTATGAATGTCTAATCAGTTATTTTGTCTAAATATAATTTAACAATTGTTTCTAGCTTCAATTTACTTAACCTCTGAAAGCAAATGAACTATATAAGCTTATTGTATAAAAAGGGTGGCTCACGCCTATGATCCCATCACTTTGGGAGGCCGAGGCGGGTGGATCACGAAGTCAAGAGATCAAGACCATCCTGGTCAACATGGTGAAACCCCGTCTCTACTAAAAATACAAAAAAATTAGCTGGGCATCGTGGCGCACACCTGTAGTCCCAGCTACTCGGGAGGCTGAAGCAGGAGAACTGCTTGAACCCAGGAGGCGGAGGTTGTGGTGAGAGGAGATCACGCCATTGCACTCCAGCCTGGATAACAAGAGCGAAACTTCGTCACAAAAAAAAAAAAAAAAAAAAAAAAAAAAATTTCTTTTTAAAAAGTATTCCTTTTTTTTTTTTTAATAGAGACAGTGTTTCACCATGTTGGCCACGCTGGTCTGGAACTCCTGACCTCAGATGATCCACCTGTCTCGGCCTCCCAAAGTGCTGGGATTACAGGCATGAGCCACCGCACCCATACGTATTCATATTTTTCTATCTGAAATTCATCCCTTTCCAATTTTAGGCATATTCTGCAGGCACTATATAGTATATAAAATATTTCAGAAGAGTGAGAAAGTAAGGGAGCAGAAGAGCAATTACTCACCCAGCAGCACCTTGGTTTTGCACATACTTTGTGAGAGCTAACTTTAATGTAAATAGTTTCGTATCTAGATCTCTTTGAGAACCACTACTAGTATTTCTTCTTAATGGTCTGGCCAGACATGTCCCAAGAATAATTTGAATAAGATGTGAATTTCATTAAACTGGAACCAAGAAAGGTGACTTTTTATCTTAATACAGATATATAAAAATGTATAACGTCATTATAATTTTGGAAAACAGCACATACAAGCAGAATGTACTTTTGTTTGGGAAACTCAGCACATAGACATGTAAATAGACAGCCATATGGCTAAAAACGTCTGTACTATATTAAAAAATGTTTCTGCTAAGAAAGAAGTAAAATGAAATAAAGAACACAAAGATCACCTTTTATAAAACATTATATTTGCTTTAAGTAAAAATGTTTAAAAAATCTGGACTAGTCATGAATTCTTTGCCCATGCCTATGTCCTGAATGGTATTACCTAGGTTTTCTTCTAGGGTTTTTTATAGTTTTAGGTCATATGTTTAAGTCTTTAATCCATCTAGAGTTAACTTTTGTATAAGGAAGGAGTCCACTTTCAGTTTTCTGCATATGGCTAGTCAGTTTCCAACACCATTTATTAAATGAACAATGAAAACACATGGGCACAGGGAGGGAAACATCACACACAGGGGCCTGTTGGTGGGTGGGGGGATAGGGAAGGGGTAGCATTAGGAGAAATATCTAATGTAGATGACAGGTTGATGGGTGCAGCAAACCACCATGGCACGTGTATACCTATGTAACAAACCTGCACATTCTGCACATGTACCCCAGAACTTAAAGTATAATAAAAATATAATAAACAATCTGTTTATAACACACGTGTCTATTACTCACCCACATTTGGAGGTTTCACATAATTTACAGGTAGTTCTGGAGGTCTGCCTCTATGTAGAGCCGCAAAAGCAGACCCATTCCATAGTGTACTCTTACAGTCTATATAAAAAGACCAAATGTTAGCTAACAAATAGAGCAGCTTTTTTTGTTAACCATGTCTCAGAAGTAAATGTCTGATTTTAATTTCATTTGTTGGAATACATTTTTAACTGTTAAACCAAAATGAAAGTAATAGGCATATATTTGAACATGTTACAAATGAAATTTATAACTGGTAAACACCAACACCTTAACATATCATCTGGATATTTTATTTCTAAGCTAGTCTTGAACTAAAGATTTTATTATGCACATATTTGAATTTTATGTAAATATGTCACAGATTAATAAGCTTTTAAGTTTACATCAGTTTTTCTTGATTTTTAGGCTTACACATCTACTCACATAAAATTTCATAAGCCAGGATATAACTATAGCCCAAGTATGCCAGGGAAAATTCAGGCATATTGGGTACATGCTCATATTATGAAATACTTGCCAGCTGTGTCATAACAGATAACAGCACTGCATATCAGATGGTAACTGATTATAAATAGCTGTGTCTTTTTCTCTGACTTTCATAAGTCAAAAAATGAAAAGACATATTAAATACTACTAATAACTTGGCTTTAAAACAAAAAGCCAAAAGCTCTCCTCAAAGCTTCCAAATAAACTCAATTAATAAGTTATAAAATGAGATGCTTAAAATCTGATATCATTACACAACTATTTATCTTGGAGAATTAGGTTAGTTATTTATGTGTTTATGTATTTATTTTTGAGATGGAGTCTCACTCTGTGGCCCAGGCTGGAGTGCAGTGGTGTGATCTCAGCTCACTATAACCTCTCCCTCCTGGGTTCAAGCGTTTCTTCTGCCTCAGCCTCAGTAGCAGGAATTAAAGGCGTGCACCACCACACCCGGCTAGTTCTTGTATTTTTAGTAGAGACAGGGTTTCACCATATTGACCGCACTGGTCTCAAACTACTGACCTCATGATCTGCCCATCTTGGCCTCCCAAAGTGCTGGGATTACAGGAGTGAGCCACCACACCTGGCCAAATTAGGATATTTAAAAATAGTATGCTAATAAAACAAAACATAGAAATAAATGGGCTGCTAGATATTAACTATTTATTACTCCAAGAAGCATCTTTAATGCCTAATTTTACATCTTTAATGCCTAATTTTACATGTTTATGTTTATCAAACACCACTTTATATGTTTGACATATTGAGGTTCCATGTAAAACTTGGGAAAAATCTGTAAAACACTGAAAATCAGCACAGTAGAAAAACTTATTTAACAATTACTGATGGGTTGATATTTTTGTTTAAATATGTTCAAATATAAAAACTGTACATATATAAAACCACAAAACTAAAAAGAAAAAAAAAAAAAAACAAAGAGAAAGAAAAAAAAAACGGTACATATAATTTTCATTTATGTGTTACAAAATGCACAATATCATTAGGATGATATTATCAAAACTAATAAAGAGTAAGAACATTATCATGAAAGAGTATTTTAAATATTTATACTGTACTAATCAAAGCAGCAATCTTTGAGATCTCTATTCCATGATTACAAAGGTATTTTATATCCGTTACCTCTATATATTCACTTTTACACAACAGGTCTCCTTTTTAGGTCTCTAAAAATTTACATGTACACTAAAAAAAAAACAAAAACATCGGCAAGATAAGAGAAACCAGAAGATAAGTATTTAGAAAAGCATGGGAACATTTTCTCAACCTAAAAATAAGCTACTCTCCACTCCTTCCTCAGGTATCACAGTTCTAAATTCTGAAAATCTCACCTTTGGCATCCCGTAGCAGAGACTGCCGACCGACACCTAATAATGTCTGTACCCCAGGAACACTCTGAGGGATCTCTTTATCTAGTAAAGGACCAATCCTCTCACAAATTTTAAGGAGGTAGTCTGGAGGAATGTGTGCATTGGCTGCCACCTAAAAAAGTATAAATAAAACACAGGGAAAAACACATTTATTTG